TTGTTTGTTTATCATGTGCTAAACATACTCAGTCCAAATATGCTTTCATCATGCTTTTAAGAGGAGGGTAAGTTATTTTGCTAAGCACATTTCTCTCCTCTTTAAGGATAACATTTTGTCTTATATTTCTGATTTGTTAAGGCTCTTACAACTTGCTAGCTTGCACAGACTATAAGCACAGACTGTGTGCAAGTGCAGCTGCAAATTTGTGTCTAAGTGCCAATGTTTCTTTCTAAATCACTAAAATTTTGAATATTGTTTTCTGTTACCTATTTTAATCCACTTGTTAGTTAAGTATTTTCAATCCATCTGCTGGAAATGTAAGTATTTTTCAAATTTTTCCTATGCTTTAAGAAAAATTGTTTTCAGGAGTACAAATAACATGAAGTTATGAAATGTACATAACTTGCAAGCAAAGTTTGGCATGGTTTGAAAGAACTGTTTAATGAAACTTTTCCAGCTATACATAGTAATTCTAGAGACATTTCTTTTTTAAATTTCTAAGTATAATGCTGGCTTTGCACATGTTTTTTAGAAGCAAACAAATCCCAAGCCCCATCACTTTTCCTTGGAGTTGTAACTTAATCTCAAGCAGGTTTTTAGTACAAAGACTGAAGCATGGCAAGAAGAATGATTTAGAACAAAACAAAACCTTGCAATCCCTCCCTCCTCTTACCTCTCAGCTCATACTGCACTGCTATTTGCATACTGTAGGAATGAATAACTTTTCTCGGAATAAAAGGAAAACCTACTTCATTATGACAAAGAACTGTATGTGTCTTAGAAAAATTAGGATTGATTGTACAGATTTGGGCTATTAATAGCAAGTATGATGGCATTTATTTTTGGATTATTTTCTTAGAGAATGGGAGCGCAAGAAAATGGCATCTCCACATTCCAGAGCAAATTTAGATTTTTGTGGGGTGAGAGGATAAGAGGAATAGTCTCCTAAATTACCTGTGAGGAGTTTATGACATGGCCACTTGACTGCATTGTTTTGCCTATGCACCTTTTGTCCATGTAAAAGTGTGTGATTCACTTGAAAGGGGTCATCCCATTCTGTATACAGAAGAATGTCTGATAACCTCAGAGGGCATAAATCTTAACTTTTAAAAAGGAGTGCTTCTTTGGGTCACTTTGATCAGTGACAGGTCGAGAATGAGCAGAAACCCTTGGCTTCTCTTCCATGCTCATCTGGTTAAGTCCAGGGCACCCACTGCCCATTCTAGTTCTGGCAAGGAGTTGTTAACAACAGAAAAGAAGGTCTGGATTTGATTGATTAAAAAAAGCAGGCTTTTGTGATTGTCTGCTTTCATAAATGTTTTGTGCATTTGTCAGAATAAGAAATGTCATTTTTCTTCATCCAGTTACCTTAAGGGCTGTAATGTTCTAAAATACTTTTAAGTCATTTCAGAAATGAGACCGTAAGAGAAATGGCTGTAACCCACAGTGACACAAAATGCCAGAGCCATGTACCTTTTTGTTAAGAAAGAAGCATGTTTAATCCGTTTCAGATAAAAAGGTAATAGCCTTTCCAGACGTTTTTTTCAATGTGAGAGTGAAAAAGCAGTATATCAGAATTATAAATGGATCTGTGCGTCATTATATAGTAATTTAGGATTCACTCAATGATGTAACAAAATTAACAACATAATTTCATTGTGTAACTGTATCTTATTAAAGAACAACTGTCTGACATTCTCTTACAGTTGCTTTATTTAACTTCATGCAAATATTATTAGTAGTGACATTTCTCTATTGTACATTAGATTCTCTCATTAGCATGATGTGTTAGTTATCACCAGAGAAATCACTTCTAGATAGGTGAGCGGGAAGCCAAGAAAACTAAAAATTAAATCAGTGATGTATATTAATATAGACGCGTCTGTTCATGAGAGATATGGTACAGTAAATTCAACTTTTTTTTCCTTGCATAAATGCATGCTTATTCCAAGGAAAACTAAATAATACTTAAAATATGTGGGGTATGCATTAATATTGCTAGAAATATTAAACTGTATACAATGTGCACTGCCTGTTTTGAGCTGCACTTGTATTCTTCAATCTGATAGTTCCTAACATTGATGTAGACATAGGCACATAAACTGTTTATTGAACCCGTACTTAAAAATAGGAGCGTAGTGTAATGTCTATTGGATTGAAGGTGAAAGCTTTTTAAATGCTCCTGGGTTGCTGGCCATAGAGGTTGTATGCAATTTTAACATTTATTAAGTATTTAACTGTTTTACTGTAGCATATAACTATTCTTTTAATATAGGTGTACGTGCAAAAAGAGTTCAAACTTAATTCAACAACAGGCTATATAATTCCATACCTTGATTTATTATGAACATTTTGGGAGGAAGATTAACAATGGTAAAATGCATTTTGTAGTTTACGGTAGTTAACAATCACCTTTGTCAGTAAGTGTCAGCAAACATAATAATTTTATTTAATATATATATTTTTATCACACCATTTTAAAGATGAACTGACCCCAGGTGGTTTTTTTGTTGTTGTTCATGAATAAGTTCATGTGCTAGTATGAATTCAGAAGCTTTATCAGGTTACATTGTCTCATTTCAGACACTTGCTTTAATTTTGCTGGGTAGTTTGGTAAAGCATAGTTTAGACCTGTAATGATTCATGTCCCTTTAGCAAATTAAAAATATTTGCATTGAGAATTTTGTGCTGCTTC